TACTACAGTGTGGCATTCAACCATACAGATCATCTTGGATTTCCAAGGTGTGAAAATCAAATTAGTAAACAAGTATGCATTCAGATAGCTTTGCATAATGTTCGCTTCACCTTATATGTTCAGATGGACTTGAAATCTTCTTGTAGGAATGACAGACTCAGAATGGCTGAGGTGTTCAAGAGATTTTTTAGTTATATAAAGAGTGTGGATGAAATTGATCACCAAGACCTTGCCAAGGGTATATGGTGACACTTATGATTACATTTGGAATGTTATGCTTAATGGTTTCATGTGGTTTCTGGACATCATTATCATGTTACACAGGGTGTCATAGCATCAAACAGGGTATCTGTATCTTGGGTGTGGCACTTGCATGTTGATGACTAAATGACTAAATCAGAATGCTTTTATCAGTAGTGTTGCATGACCTTGTGACCCCCATGTGACCTTGTGGGAGATCCAGATCAAGAAATAAAGACTCAACATACATTGTATTTGAATGTGTTTTGCTGAATGTTATGGACATGTTTTCTTGGCGAGCTCTATTGCTTTGGCTTCATTGGTACATAATTAGCTCGAATGTCATTGTCATTCTTTGCATAACACCATGATCATTTTAGTGATACAATCTTTTTGGCAAATGTCCTTTCACTCAATGGGAAGTATCTTTATCCATCATGCAACAATTGTTGTTCTATTTTAAATATTATTGATGTATATAGTGATCCTGGTTCATAAGTAGATAAGGGTAAGGATCTTAAAATAACCCCCATTAAGGTAGATGTTCATTTGAGCAAGTTGATTATACTGTATATTCGGACTGCATTAACATCTTCTGACAAATACATATGTGTTTGGATCAAAAGCTGTGACAGTGATATTGAGGGTGAGTTCTGAATGAATATGATTGGATTACATATTATTAGCTATAGGGAGGAGATACTTTCAATTCAACTTAATCCTTAATAATATAATTATACAAGGGACATTTAAAAGATTTAACAGGTATAGCCCATCATGAGAAATCATGGCCTTCTAATAGCTTCACACTAGTATGCATATTTCTGGTTGAAGACAGAAAGATGTGATGAGTATTAGAATGGGTAGAGCCATTTCTGATGTTTATTCCCTGTGTATAGTTAAAGCATATTAATAGTACAATAACGTCATTTTGAAGGGCATGCAATATAGTGAAATATTGGACCGAGGGCCAAAGGGCCACTAAAACCCCTAGAACTGGACCGGCAAGGTGGTAATAATATAATATTATGAATATTATCACATATCAGTTTAATTTTCAGTGATAACTTCATACCTTGAAATTCCAAGATAAAAGGAGGTCCATTTTGGCAATAGTCCATATATTCAAAACAAATTAAAGTAAATTAATTCTTAGAACTCAATAATGTTATCACTTGAAACGTTACCTTTTGGCGATTCTAAAAATATTCACAAAGTCAAATCGGCTCATAGATCACCCTCATACAATCATAAAAAATACCAATCTCAGGGAATGTGTTTTTGACATGGCAGATTGTTATATCTAATTTCAGTTTTTTAAGACCCGAAGGTAAAAATTGTTTATAAATGGGCAAAATGACTTTAAGAAAAAAGTAAAAGTATATGGACTCGTGAATGTCCCTAGTTATTAGTTTCCTCAACAAGTGTATGATTAATGCGCATTGGACTGATGTCTAACCTTTTTAGAGATAAAATCATCATTTTTATGGTGCATATTGTCTTGGTTATTTGAACTTTCAGATTCAGTTAATCAATGCATCAGTCAATATACGATCATATTTCAACTAAATTGTGTTTTTAAAATCTTGAAATAGATCTTGGTTATGTTGACTTGCTTTGACACAGAGGTGAAATATTTGATTACCAAAGATTTTTTACAAAGAGAAATGTTGTTTTTAGAACAGTATTATCGTGAAATGTCCTTTAAGGATCCTTTTTCTGTTTTGGTATAAAAGTTTGACATATTTCTCATTAAAAAAAGAAATCTCTAAAGAAAGTATCTGTACCGTAAAACCACAAAGTTAAGACTTTATAAATATGGCATGGCGATGTAGACATATTTGCTCCCACAGAGATCTCAACCAAAATCCATCATGTGACAAATCCTGACTCAGATACATTATTCATTATAAAGAATGTATAAGGTGGGGAGAGGTATAAAAAGATAAATCAAGTGACTTCATTTATAATCAAATCGTAATAGAAAATAGACAAGTTACAATAAGTACAAGGTTAGCTTCATATTCTTTATGTATGTGTGTTCACAAATTATGAAATATTTATTCATGCCAATCATATCAAGGGGAGAGTGTAAAACTAAGTAAACTTTGGGGTTTTAAGATTACTTGTTTTTCTGCATCACATTTGGCGTCTGTCTCCCCACTATCTTGGCATCAAATATTTATGTACATGAACTGTAAGTTGACCACTTGTATCATTTATTTAAATAACTGTTTTATATATTCCATAATATTGATTCTGACTTTATTACTTGCTCGGGTGATAATCTATTATTATTATTATAGGGGTGATTTTTTATTATGTACATTATTAAGAATATTTTTAATGATGACATTCATTCACATATTAGCAATACATACAATACAAGCATTATTGTGTATATCTCTTGGAGTTATACTTTTTATTTTATCGGAGGCACTCGTTCTGCAATGTTCTGTTTGTTGTTTTAAAATTTTTTAAATGATAATAATACATACAGAGCACAATTCAATTTCGGATTTTATTTCAATTTTTTGTTACATCTGATATTTTAGGGAATATGAAAGCTGATATCACTGCATGTTCTTTTTTTTTCTTTTTTTTATTTGACTTCAGTTTAACATTTTGTTTTATTCTTTGACCAGTTGATAAAGAATGTTACCTCAGGTTTACATTAAGTCTGTCTGCAATTTTTAAGTTCATTGAGTCTTTTAAACACTGTTCAAACACTCTCACTTAAAATATTACTAAAAGTTTGTAGTGGCATGTTTCATAAAAATGTACATTCAACAGGTTCCTAACTATATATTTAATTTTGAAAAGTTTCTCGCCAACACTTATTAAACGTTATTCATGTCAGACACAGTGCCGTATTTATTTCTTAGTTCTCTGAGATCGTGACACATTAGTTACGTTGACAACATCATAATATAATGAGGTAAATCAATGAATGTCTACGCACTTCTACACAATTTATGAAAAAGAGTGGCTTTGACTCTTTATAGTCAACAAAATTCATAGCTTGAGTTATTCATAATGTTATTTTATATGGATCTATTTTCGTAAACTTGTTAAGATTGTAAGCAATGTCAGTAAATAAAATTATGCTACCTTTAAAAAACTTTTATGTATATCATGCTTGCATGTATGCTACACTTCTAAGTAGGATTAACATTTAGGCGTAGTTTTGAATTGATTCAAGGTAGGTGTGGTCGAAAATATAAGTATATCTGAGAAATAACTGGGTTATATAACAATAAAAGGACAATTAGATCTGAACATAGTTGTTTAACACCAAAAGGTACTCATTGCTAAAAACCAAAAGGCACCAATTGTTAAAGATCAAAAGGCACTTATTGTTAAAAACTGAAGGCACCAATTGTTAAAGACCAAAAGGCACTCATTGTTAAAAACCGAAAGGCACTTATTGTTTAAAACCAAAAGGCACTTACTGTCAGAGACCAGAAGGGACTTATTGTTAAAGACCAAAAGGCACCAATTGTAAAAGATCGAAAGGCACTTATTATTAAAAACTGAAAGGAACTTATTGTTAAAAACCAAAAGGTACTTATTGTTAAAAACCAAAAAGCATGTATTTGATTGCAAAACATTTCATATTAAGTTCCATTTCAAGATTAAAGGTCATCGTGTACTGTCTGTTAAAAGGAATCGATTCTTTCAACAAGCCTCAGTTATACATGATCCTAAACATCATTGATCTCAATGTTGTTGTGTTTCATAATTTCATTTATTAATATTGAATGAAAGGGAACAACTATCAATTATTTATGAAGCTTTGTATTGAACTAATGTAACCAAATGATGCAGTATGTGTAAAATTTAGGTTGAATCTTGGTAGATTGATACAGATACAATTAATGACATGTTTATCATATAACAGAAATGACCTTTTAATGGGGAAATATAAGTGAAACCATTCCCTAGAATAAAATCATATTCATGTGTAGTAATTTATAAGAATTAAGGTAGTGAATCTGAAATTTTCGTTCAAAACTAACAACATCGATATCAGATGTAGAAAATGTCCATATATGTATATAAAAATATTTGTGAGTTATTATTGCAATATTTTTTCTATAAATAACGGATGTGTACAGTGCCATACCACAGCTGTATGCTGAAAGAGAATAACTAATATAACCTTAAGTTCACCATGGAAACATATTGTATTGGAAATATTAAATATTGTTTCTTTGATAACTTGTATATAAGAATTGATTCAAAGTTTTGGAATTTGTTTGTTGTAAAGATGGATTTTAGATTATATATTAAAGCATCTTAAGTCTTATTACAGATTAGTTTTGATTTCATTTCATGGATTTGTGACCCTTTTATACAATATTTTATTAATGGATGTATATTAGACTGATGCTGATGTAACAAGATTAGGTTAAACCTTCCTTCATTAGAGACAATCGATTAAAATAGGGTGGTTTTCTTGTATATGATACACTTACAGATATGATTCATTCACTCTATCCTTGGACTGGGAGGTGGGAAAACAGAACTCAAAGTACAAAGCTCTCCGTCAACATATTGTCTGCAGTAATTATTAGTATATGACCTTATACATTGTTTTTCTTTCAGAAATAATCAAAAAGTCCATCAGTCTTGTTTCACTGAGACAGTGGATTTTCAACAGGTCATGGGACAGATTTTATGATCTTTTGTTTCAGTAGATTCTCAAGACAAATTGTTTGCGGTTCACATTGTTTAAAAGGATATTTTTGTATTTGCAGAGTAAAAATGGCTCCATCAAACGTGCATGCTGCAGTTCTGTTACTGGCTAGTATTGGAGCAGTTTTTGGTAAGTTGATTTTGTAATCATTAATCAGTGAAGTGTCTGATTTAATATTGCAGTTAATTGATCTCTTCTATGATTCATTCTGAAAGAAGACACTGTTGTTATAGATACAATTTCACATGTACAAATGTACTTTTAAGGAAGTATAGAGATAAGTTGAGGTTTTAAGTTTCCCAAAGATTTCACAATTTTATATTCTTCACTGTCATATTTTTTCCTATTTTCTAATGATTTGGGAAATTTCTGGATCCTCAATAGTACAATGGAATCTAAATTTAATCAGATATCTCAGATACAAATTTGGATTGTAAAAACATTAGTATTATTTTTAAAATATTTGCTTTCAACATTCTACACTCTCTAGTATCCATTGCCACTGTAACATATAAATTGTTTTTACAGGAGAGACAATATTTATTGGCAGAGAAGTTTACCCTGTAGAGAGAGAACTTACAGATGACAATTATGTATTTCTCTTTGATGATTGGGAATTTGGAGATGGAATATGGAACTCTGTGACAGCGTACTTTAAAAAAACGGACCCTGTGTTCTTTATGGTAAGTTAAATTGTGAGATCAGTAATTATGTAGATAAACACTGATATTGAAAACAATAAAACAGTGTGAATGTAATAAGATGTTTTATAACTATGACATGAAATATATCATAGGCTTCTGGAAAAAGGTATTGAGCGTGGGGCATTTGATGTAGAGGTTCCCATCCATTCAGGGTTAATATAAATTCCATTGACTTAGTCCCGGCTTTGAAACAATGTATGCATCGTTTAAAAGATGTTTGTTTATGTTATTTTATTTTATTTATCATCTTAATTTAGTAATATTTTCTATCAATTTAGGTATTCCGGCCAAATGGAGCAAACTACACACTAATAGATCAGAGAAAGTTTACACCTAAAAGCAAAGACTCACTAGAACATGTACGTATGTGAAAAGGTTATGTAAATATTTTTAAACTCTTACTGAAAAAATCTAAAATGTTTTCCTCAGTTGATTTGTTTTGTCGTTTTGAAGTAACATTATGTTTACACTAAAATAAAACTCCAACATTTTCTAAAGTGCAAAAAGTAAATTCTTTATCAAAAATGAAGATTTTAAAAAATTAGTGTGAAGAAACTTATGTATATATACCTCTGTGAATATAACTTTTCAAGTAACATATTTTGGTCAATATTCTTACTACACATGAAACCCCTTGGGATTTTAACCTTCCAAATATCAGTTCTTGAAACAGCCTTGGAAAGTTATATATACATTTGTAAGGTCTATAAGTGCTAAATGCATTGATTATGGAATTTGAAACTCACATATTTCACGTCATTCCAGATTGTGTTTGATCATAACTGCACTTTGGTAAAACGAGGGGACCGTTTAGCCATCATGGGCAATAGTATCGGATGGGACTTTGTCTCTATGGCTTCAGCAAATGTTAAGTATCGCACAGAGACTGCAGGGACTGTTTTGGATATTGGTGCAACTTTAGAATTCAAAGCTGAACAACGAATTTACATGAAGTTTGCAATCGATGCAAGTTATAGTACAGGTATGTTGAATATCCTAACTCATTCCCATATAACAAGATATTTCAAAATCGTATCATTTAATTTAATTGTTGTTTTGATTATCACATCACCATGGTTACCATGATTTCCATGGTTACAACTACAACAGTGGATGTAGAAATTTCCATAGAAGGGAATGTTGCAAGAAATTAATCCTATTGGTGTTAATCAAGCTAGGCTATTGATGAATATAATTTGTTGTCCTAAACATTTGTAGCAATACAGCACATATAACTAGTTTTGAAGTCATCATTAATTATGTTATGTTATTAATGTAACTCAGAGACATACTTGCTCCATTCCATATAAAACAGAGAGGCCTCACTTAGAGGATAAAGTTAATTACTTAAAATAGAGTTATTACCTATATATTAATTTTCAGAAAATTCAACATGTGGAGAAGCAATTCCAATGCGAACCACCACCACAACTACCACCACAACAACTACAACCACACCAGCTCCCACAGAGGCTACCACACCAAAAAATGAAACCACAGATAGTAATCCAAGCCCCCAGACTCAGAGTAAGTTAATGGTATTTTACTTTTTTCCTCTGTTGAAATGAAGTATCTCCTATTATAAGCTTCAGAAACGGAAATGGTATTTTTACCTGTAATTTTTGAATTCATCTCTAATGACAATATTACACTTAAATGTAAGAGTATAACATGACAGTGTTATTAATCTAGTGTCAAGGAAACAATATCACACGTGTTTACTGCGGGGCCAACAAAGGTACTTAATCTGAATCTTTTTGAGTTTCTGCATGATTTGAGGCAAGCCTTGCGTCATATGTGTTTCATGGTTGAAGGAAGGAAGGGAACCATGCATGGATGGTATAACCCATATGATTTATCTTGTTGCCATGGAACCCCCTCTCAACAATAAGAGTACAACCAGTTGTGTTTTGGTGGGTTTTCAGCAAAATCTACGATGTCAGCTACAACTACAACAAAGCCCGTAGTTGATGATGGGAAAACTGATAAACAAACAGAGGGTAGGAGGACTCGACTCAAAGAGTCTGCTTACCTCTTTATAACTAGACAGAGATCACATATCGCTTTTAAAGCTTCCACACACATAGATCCCATCACTTCATAACCCAGTAGCCAATTTATTGTAGATGTTTAGTTTATTGTATACTTTATTGTATGTGTGTTTGTACCTATTGTACATTCATGTGCTTCATACTCTTATGTGTATACATTTACATGGGTATATATAATGTTTGCTTGATCTTAGTTGCCTTAAATACATAATCACCCATGTTTAGTTTTTCTCCTGGAGATTGAAAAAATGGGAATTATTTCCCATATCTGAGTCTAAATTGGAAATATGTGAAAAGCTTATAGTTCTGATGATTTTTACCCAACATGCTATCATATATTATGATTTCCAGTATCTTCTAGCTTGACGTTTTCAACCTTTTGACTATTCTCTATTGAAGCCCCATATATTGGCTATATTCAATTCAATAAAAACACATGAATATAGTGTATGTTGAATGCACATATGAACTTAAACTGAGAACCCACAAGAATGTGTCACACATATAGGGTCTGACTTAAAAGTGCATGATAGGATGAAACAAACGTTACAGAAAAATCACCAGCTTAAATCACCAGCTTTTGTACTAACTATACATTTCAACAATTCAGTTATCATTGAAGTTGTTTCTAGCTTTTCAGATTATGTGTTTTTGTTATGTGTTTACCAGTTATTTATTTGTTTATTTATTTATTTATTTGCCCTCCCATCTTTGTTTTCATTTACTCTTTCATGATGTTCGAACACTTTAACAAGTGACATCACAAGAGGAGGCTGTCTAATATCAAGAATTATGTAAAACTCCAATTTGTTTCTATTAGCTCCCTTTATTTAGCAAATACAAATAGATTTGGTATAGATCTAGAATTTTTATAGCAAATTCAAATATTACAATTTTCATTTAACTATGATTTTTGGATAAAATACCTATACAACCCTTTAAAAGTTCTTATCTGTTTACCATGCAATAGTTTGATAAATGTCACCACAACCAGAGCTTAGTTTGCTTACTTTTAGAAATTTTATGTTCACTTTGTCAATAACACTGGATGTCATTTTAAAGGTCACTTATAACTTTCCTTTCAAATTCAGTAGTTTTTTGTTGTCTTAACAGTACAAACAGTTATGGTGTTTTAGTATTTTATCACGTCTAATAAAGAATGTAATGGATATCACATGTATCTGACTTTTAACAAAGACACTAAATATTACGCTTTCTGAATTTTTTAAGAGTTCATATTTATTATAGCAACATCTTAAAGAATGTAATACTTGTTTTAATAAAAACGCCCTTGAACCTATATATAAACATTTAACAGCCATTCTACACTCACTTCTGATACATAGCATACATTGCTTTATTGCTTAATGGATATAGATAAGGTACAATTATTTCAGGGCTACCATTTAGCCATAACATCATCAACACATTGCTTCTTTGCACTATAACCAAATCGCACTTCTCTAACACCATTATTTTTTCCAGCTTCGTGGTTGGCGGAAAGTGGCTGGATACTTATCTTAGTCGGTGTACTTGCCATAGTTTTAACACTGTTAATAGTTGGGAGTGTATGGGCGATACACCCCTCATGTCGCAAGCCAAAACCTATCGCTTCTCCTTCAACAACCACCACTGAGGATAAACTCAATTACTACAATGATGTGGTGACTCATGACACACCAGAAGAGCATTTCTATCCTATGTCTCAACAGGATTATGCTCAGAACTGGACACTTAATAAACAACCTGAGGTTTTACATAGATACTAGATAATTCTGCAATCTAATAATGCTTTAATAACCGATGTAAGTTGGTTTATAACAATCTGCATGCTTTAGCTTCTCTACACAATTAAACATCTTCTTCTCAGTCTTATACACTCTATTGATGTTGATACAGATATAGTGACATCATCTCGATTTTCTTTTTTTGTATTTTCTTTTTTTATAGCTTTTGAATGTTGCTTCTTTTTATATTAAATGCTTGGCACTTACTATGTATGTTATGGTGGAGTGCACACGTACCTAATATTTCCACTTCGAAATAGATTACCTTACTTTTTTTATTATACTAGATTTTGATTATGGTTAGGTTAGGTTATGAAATTTTTGTGATCACTTTATGTAAATTGATGCCAAAATTACTCTCATGTCCTTCTTTAATTTTCTATTTTTCCCTTTAGATTATAGAAAGAATTGGTTAAAGGAGTGGTATCGATATGGAGAACTGAATTCAACAATGTTTTTCTCTTAAACCAATCATTGAAAACATTCTGTAAAAAACACGGTATTTTATGTAATGTTGACTGATTGACAACAATATAATGTGGAAATTATTTAGAAATATTTTATATAACTGTTTTTGTTAACTTTTTTTTAGTGCAATTGTTTTTGCTCCTTTCTACCAATTCTTGAGAATGAAATAAAATGTCTTTCTGAACCTTGTTAAAACAAAATAGCATATATACAACATGTTTTTAGACCTCTCAATATTATAGTTATACAAAGGAATTTTTGGTTGATTTTAAAAAGTATTCAAAAAATTAAAACAAAATCCCCCAAAAATAGATAAAAATCAAGATAAACCTTTTATTTCATTAACAAGATACTTTTTTAAAATCAACCAACATTTTCTTTGTACAATTACAATATTGAGAGACCTAAACATGTTGTGTTTATGTCGTTTTGTTCTAATGAGGTTTGGAAAGATATTTCGTTTCACTCTGGAAACATGATACCAAGAACAAAACAAGTGTTTGATGTGTTTTCTGAAAGTATATATATATATTTTTCAAATTATATTGTTACCGTTCGAAAGATGACCATTAAATTGACGATGTGTTAAATTTTTAGATTTTTTTGTAACTGGTTTAAGAGAAATGTTTGTTCAAAAAGTCCTCCATATCGATACCACTCCTTTGCAAAAACAAAAATTCTGGTTTAACTTAACACAAGAATAAATTTGATTGTCTTTATAGCATTTTTTCAGATTTCCTCCATTTGAAGCAATCTGAAATACTTTCCTGTATCAGACATTTTATGTGATGTTGTATGTGTGTACCATTGTATATAAGTCCATGTATACCGGTAATTGAGAATCACAAGCGGAATTAACGGAAAACATGTATCATAAATATTTTTAGTTTAGGGATTGTGTCAAAGTGTCTATTGTTGTGATAAAAATAACTTAATTGCACGATGGTAACTCCCTCATTTCTTGATATAACAAAATTTGAAAATGCTTATTTACCTTATTAGAGTTTGGGCCAAAATTCTGAACATTTTTTCAAGTGATTTTGGGCCAGGTTGTCAAACATGCACCCCCGGAATGTTTTTGAATGAAAGGCCACAAAAAATCTATAATGATAGAGACCATCATGAATAAGTAAAACCTTTACAAAAATATTATTCTTGACTGACAAGTAGTTTACCAGTTATAATCATTAAATTTCTTCTATTTTCAGGTATCGAAGAATGGGTCAAAGATAACTGGTGGATTATTGTCCTTGCTGCTGTCTTAGCGATCGTTCTCACTTTGGTGATCATCGGTGTCATCTGGGCAGCATCACCAGCTTGCAAACGTAAACGCATGGAAGACAACGAAGCCCGTCTTAAAAAGCTTGCAGAAAACCGCAGCAGCCTCTACGACAAAGTAGGACCAGTTTATGTAGACATTCACCCAATGGGCAATGGAGTAGAGACTGGCCAAGAAAGCATGAACCACACAACTGAGCAGATTTATGAAAATGAAGCTTATATTGATGGATATGATGAAAAACAACCTGACCCCCCTGTTGACTACACAGAGAGCACTCTCTCTAACGGCTCAAATGGTTCACTTAAGCACAGTAACGGGTATGCAGTACCACATGGTGATACTAAATTTTAGACTTGAAATATTGAGTCAGCAAAAGGACTGGCGAGTGAATACAGAGAAACAATGCACAGTGAACAGGTTGCATGGACTATGTATAAGACATAGAGATTGTGATTTGTAGACATTGTACCTAAACAGATTCAAGGAGCCATTCAACAAGTTGAATAAACCAATGTGTTGAAGTATGGCGGGTATATAATGCAGTAGCCTGGACATGACATAAACGGTTGTGATGCAACGTGTCATTCCAAAGATTTCCTAAAAAAATACCAACTAAAATTTAAGCTTTTGTATTGTAAGTTTATCATTGCGTGAAAGCATCAAAATGAATAAGAAATGACACAATATGATTGGAAATACATTGTAGGAAAATCATTTTTCAAAATAGCCTGGTGACTATTTGCATCACAGGCTCAGTACCATAATATTGTTACGTGTGTTTGTATTAAAAATGTATGTTAACAACATACATACCAGTATCAAGAAGCAATATACCAAATGTGTAAAATATTAAGTTTATGACTGTACGGAGCCATCGGGGCTCTATATAAGGGTGCTATAATATGCAAACAAATAATTTGTACTGTAGATAAAAATATATAGATAGTCCATTATACAAACTGATCACAAACATCTGCTTAAAATGTCTGCTTGTCCTTATAATGTAAGAATGAAACACTGTGTTGGAGTTCTTGCATGAATGTGAGATGTTGGGTTTGAAATAGTTGATTCAGCCACAAGTGAGTTCAAAGGCCTAAATAGTCCCACGTTTATGGGTAATTTTTTGTGTTAAATTTAATTCATACTTGCTGGCTATTTCAATTCCTCTTTTTTTAAAGGGCCAAGACACTACAGGCAAATTGAGAATTACTCAAAAATTTGTAAATATTTTTGCTTATATCGATCCATGACATGCCTGTTTTTTAAGAATTCCAACAGTCACATAGTCCAAATTGATTTGATAATAATTCTTTGATTACCTTTTTTCCTTTGATAAGGTTCTGTATCAATATTCTTTTTTAAAGTGTTGACCCCCGTCAAACCTAAATCTTCAATCCTTTTATATTTGATTACATATCTGAGTTCTAAGACAGAGTAAGAGAAAAACTGATATACTTTTTGAACTTTGCTTCCACATTGTACATTCTATATTGTACATTTTCTATTGTACATTCTCTGTTGTACATTCTCTGTTCTTTGCTGCCACTTTAAAAAACATCCTTATATATTTTAAAATATTATTTAACTTTAAATGGGACCTTTAAGTGTTTAACCTTGCTTTAATTAACATACTGTACATGTACAACTATGTTGTTACAAAATTGCTAAAATTTCTCATCTTGGCAGAACTTAATCCAAGATTCTTGGTTTTTGATTCTTTGTGTACAATGTGTTTGATTTCTTGACATCAAAAATGAAGTTAATTATGTTGTAATATACAGTATATAAGCGTGCATATAGCATAACATTTTGTTTGCATGTAATCATTGATATTGAATGAACTTGATTAGCGCTAACTAATGATGAACTTTTGCTTAATGTTCATGCAAAAACAGCATTTCTTTGTGCACAATGCTCACACAATAGTAAATAGTATGATAATGATTTTCATCATCTTTTCATATGATCATGATTACATCATGTATATATGGTCATGATCCAGTTGATAATGATTGCATATGATAATAATGAATGCATAATGCTCATCAGTATATATGATAATGTTTGCATATGAACCTGACTAGATAGAATGGTTGCATGTGATAATGATTACATATGATGATGTTTGCATATCATGATCACTATATCATAATGTTTGCATATGAACCTGACTAGATAGAATGGTGGCATGTGATAACGATTACATATGATGATGTTTGCATATCATGATCTCTATACAAGGGGCGATCCATATATTCTGATAAAAATGCTCTCATTTTGTGATTTTTTCACATATCCTTTTCATTTTTTCAGAACATGTACATTATGTAATTACACATACGATGCTAAAATATTTTAGCTGTATCTTAAATTAATTTTGAAATAAGGTTGCCATGGTAACCTGTATTTAGGGTAGGCAGGTCAGTTAAATTATAACGTCTAAAATAGATAAATATGTTAATTTAATCATTCCTCGGTACCTATTTTAAGCAGATCAAACGCATCTTCCAGTTATTGTCAACTATTCATTGATCTGTTCCATACCCCTGTTGCCCTTGTTTGATAATTTATACAGTGGGATAGCTATCTTTTCATAAGTATACATCTCAATTTATCGTAGTGTTATTCTCTGTCCGCAAGCTCTTCTTGCAACCAGTTGCGGATGATCTTCAACAGTGACCATGCTTTCCTCTTTACAATACTACCTATATATTCTTTATGCAGATATAACACCTTGCCCATGCACTTTATGAGTCCATGTATGTCTCTGACAGTGTCCTCTTACTTATTCTTGAAAGAAAATCAAATCTAATGGTATTCCCTAATGTATCCGTTAATATGACACTCTGCATCAGCCACATTAACCTAATCTGACAATTTGATTTTTGGTGTGTCTCATAACATGTAATGTCAATTGGCCCATTCTGTCCTATAATGCTATTGTGATTTGTTGTGATGTTATAGTGAGCACATATAAACATTTGTTTAGCAACAAACAACAAGTAACAATACCAAACTTTTTTAGAAAAAATGCATGATTTCAGCATGCTTTAAAATAATTAAAATAACAAGTAATTTTGATATTTATATGTTATAATTAAATTGACCTGCCTACCCTTAATACAGCTTACCATGGCAGCCTTATCTCATTGATAATTAAAGATACAGCTATAATATTTTAGCATTGTATGTGTAATTACATAATCTACATTTTCTGAAAAAATGAGAGGGATATGTGGAAAAATCACAAAATGAGAGCATTTTTATCAGAATATATGGATCGCCCCTTGTATATGATAATGTTTGCATATGAACCTGACTAGATAGAATGGTTGCATGTGATAATGATTACATATGATGATGTTTGCATATCATGATCACTATATATGATAATGTTTGCATATGAACTTGACTAGATATAATGGTTGCATGTGATAATGATTACATATGATGATGTTTGCATATTATGATCATGGCTACATAAGAAAAAATGGTCATGATCACAAATGAAAGATTACCAGTGAGGTATGTAAATATTCAAATACTTTAGACTAGCATTTTAGTAATTGTAATTGCATTGCAGTGTATTGTGCAATGTATTGCAGATTATTGTACAATGTATTGCATGTTATGATACTATATGTCAATAAAAGTTATATATTGCAATGTATTGTACAGTGTATTACAGTGTATTGTACAATGTATTGCATGTTATGATACTATATGTCAATAAAAGTTATATATTGCAATGTATTGTACAGTGCATTGCAGTGTATTGTACAATGTATTGCATGTTATGATACTATATGTCAATAAAAGTAATATATTGCAATGTATTGTACAGTGTATTACAGTGTATTGTACAATGTATTGCATGTTATGATACTATATGTCAATAAAAGTTATATATTGCAATTTATTGTACAGTTCATTGCAGTGTATTGTACAATGTATTGCAATCATGATACTATATGTCAATAAAAGTTATATATTGCAATGTATTGTACAATGTATTGCAGAGTATTCTACAATTTTGTGATTGAAGACTTCAACACAAAACAATTATGGAAATATCATTTTCTATGAAAGGAGATGTGGAAATATCATTTTCTATGAAAGGATATTTGTGCTATGAAAACTGAGATATGTAAAGGTGGTACAGGCATTTTTGTGTTTTTTGTCTTATGAATGTGTTAGTGCTTTATGTGTTAGGAATAATGATTAGGGTTTTGGGAGATACCAAATTCAACATATCAAGGAAAACATTCCTATATTACGATTTTATTTTATATATGATATTAAGGAAACATATCGAGGTATTATATCATGTGTATGTTAGGATAATGTACAAAATGTAAATATTGTAAAAAGATATTTTGTAACTTGATATTACGTATGTATATCACATGTATACTTTTATATGTACATATTATAAACCTATGTATAGTAGTCACAGTAACATAGTTCTCAACCAGATAATGCACATATGCAAGTTATTTTATCAATGCAAGTTATTTTGTCAATGCAAGTTACCAATTCATAAATCCATTCCTAAGATAAATTATTCTTTGTGGTAGTGCTTAATGGAAAGAACATATATTAAATTCAGTATTTATGTGTGTCATATAAAGCAAATTGATATCTTAATTAAAACTCTAAATTTGATTCTTTATATTTTTGAACCAAGCGATCAAATATTTTAAGATAAGAATCTTTGACTGAAGTATAAAGAACATAGAAGACTTGTGATGTAATACTATATATACATGTATTCCTTGCAGACATTGACACATTTCAAAGTTTGGATTAAAATAAAACCTGTAATGAAAATACTGTAACTCAGTTGTTTGTTTTCTAATTTCTTGATAGAATATCACAAAATAAAGTTATATCTTTGTCCCCATAGTCCAACTTGAAGAATGTTTACTACAGTATTAGGTTCAAAGAAGTTTTAGCTTGTTCACCTGATCGTTTAGAATCCTCCCACATTATGGCGTATATTATGCTAATATTTTTCTCTCCATCAAGCAAGACATCAAACCAACCCATGTTCTATGAATTAAAGTGAGATATGCGCGTAGATTCCAAGATTTTGAAACGTAACACAATTCCAAACACAATCATGTGAGATTACACTGTAGGCCTATACTAAAATGATCTTCATGCATATTGATAATAGATGGCAGCACTAGATAGGTAAAAAGTGGAGACTCCATGTACTTCAAAAATCTGAAACAAACCCTCTAGTTATATCAAAAACATTTAATACTGAGTCCCTCGTGCAAGATTAGAACATATCTATATGTTTGAAACTTTTTTTATTTCTGCTTTACTTTGAATATTAGTTATCAGTAGTTATTAATACATATTATATGCAATGAGTACTCAAACAACCCATTTTCGGTTAATCCATTGTACCTAAACAGTTTGAATGCCATGCATATTAAAAAGTCCATCACATTTATATTACACTAGTCTATCAGTCATATCAAATAACTCACATTATTCTTAAATCTAATTGGAATGTAAATCTGAGTAACACTACACTATAGACTATACAATATGCATGCATACAATTGAAATGTGATACCATTATCATTCTTCTTTTGGGATTATT